TCTTTCTTTCTTTCTTTCTTTCTTTCTTTCTTTCTTTCTTTCTTTCTTTCTTTCTTTCTTTCTTTCTTTCTTTCTTTCCTTCCTCTTTTTTGACCACAACTACTATCAAACAGCAACCAACCCTCCCAAACAACCAACAATGATGAACCGCATCTCTTGGGGCCCTAGCATTTATATACCCTCTGAAAAGTTCCCAGAATTTCAAATTTCACACACTCTCAGAAGCTGTCTACAGCTAGCAATACCATGCCTCTGCTAGAGCATAAGGCAAATCATAGTCAGTGCTGTGGACAATCTGAAGCAGCCCCACATCCCACACCTGGGATTAAAATGAAAACATATTCTTATAATATTTCTGTGTTTTTTTTAAAGAAACAAAAATTCTTAAATTCTCACCACAACTACTCATACGCATTTTCTTTCCTCTTTCATGAGATGATTGTTCTATGGCTTGAGCTTGCTCTGAGGTATGCATAAAAAGAACCAATGTAATCCTTCCTGCTTGTTATCAGTCTTCCTTTTTATTTACTCTTTGTGAACTTTTACAAGGAAGGGGTAACGAAGGAACAGAAACAAAGAAAGTTGAGAGGAATGGAAAGAAAGAGAGAAAGGTGCTTAAAAGCTTAAAAAGGTGTGTGTGTGTGTGTGTGTGTGTGTGTGTGTGTGTGTGTGCACTTGAATGGGCATGCACACAAATGAAGGAGAGCTTCTGATGCCAATGTGACAGGAACAGCACTTTAAAGATCGTATATGTCAATGCCTTCCTTAGCTTTACAGATGAGATCATTGAAGGCAAGAAAGATGAAAGGGTTTACAGACAGTGGCGCAAACCAGAGGACATAGGTGTCACTAATCATGACCTGCTTCTTTTAAGGTGTTTTGCTAAGACTCCTGGTAGTGTCTGAGCTGATCTGTAAAGGAATAGTCTTCTGCATCACCCACACCACACTCCACCAGTTGGCACAGAGCCTGGAAGGACACTTCTGTAAATTCTGTTTTATGTCTATGAATGTTTTGCCTGCACGTATGTAAGTCTATAATATGTATATATGTATGTATGTACATATGTATGTATGTATGTATGCATGTATGTGCAGGACATGTGTGCCCGTGCCCACAGCAGTGAGAAGAGAGTATAGATCCCCTGTTACTGGAGTTAGATTGTTGTAAGCTACCATGTGGGGGCTGGGTTTTGAACCTGGGTTCTCCACAAGAAAAACAAAAGCTCTAAACTGTTGGGCCATCTCTCTTGGCCCTGAAAGGACATTTTAAGGCAGTCTAAGAATATTTGGAGGATAGAGATACGAGCGCTTTTTAGTGCAGGGATAAGGAAAACAGGTATTAGACCAATAACAAGAGCTAACTTTTTGTTTAAGTGTAGCTCAAAATTTAAAGTCTTTGAACTTTTCCAAGACAAGGTTACAAGAAGGGAGAATTACAGCACCTCTGAAAATTAAATGGTACCTAAGATATCAAGCCCGTCTTTAGAGGCCACATCACAAGACCACTAACAGTGACATTAGTGTGTTTTGGTAACGCTTAGCAATCTGGACGTTTAATATACTTCAGCCATTTGTTCCAGTCACCAGAGGTTAACAAGCAAGCAGTGAATATAAACATAATTGTCTTTCATTAGGCTAACTGGCCAGTTTGGCCAGCAAGGGCAAAGTCTCGCGAATAATCCCCCATTGTTGGGGACCAAGGCAGTGTGTTTTGAGTAAATTCACAGATACTCACTGTTGTGTTTGAAGGGTCTTATGGTTGCACCAGTGAGTCTAGCCCCCAGGACGAGAGATGAGTGGTTAAACTCATCACTTAGAATGAGGCATCCCTGTGCAGAACACAAACACAGACCACAAGATAAGGAAAGGAAAGGCAACATGCAGGAGCTAGGAGACACCAAAACCTATGCTAAATCAGAGATCTAGTTAGTTTGAAAAGATTAAATTTCAGCTGGTATTTATATGGACAAAATCTAATCTTTCAGCTAGCTCACGGTGACAGCAGCAGTTTGTAAGACATTGCCTGTTTACTGAAACATTTGCAAAGAGTTTTCAACAGAAAGATAACATTTAAATACCAGCTAGAGTCTACAGGATTGAGCTTGGGCTAGAAGAATGATGTTTGGCAGAGGCCTTTACACTTGTTTGGTACTTGATGTTGTGCTAGATTGTTTGGATTGCTCTGATCAGTTCCCCTGGAATCCCAGGGCTTTTATAGCAAGGCATTTCAAAGTCTTCCCTTGTATTCTCATTCTTCCTGTGGTAACATCTCATAAAGACAGAAGCATCTGTGTTTTAAGTTAAAAACTTTGAATTTGGGAAAGTGTGTACAGAATTCAGTGTGAGGTGAGTGGAAAATACTGCTCTGCATACATTATACCTGTAGAATTTTTTTCTTTTAAAATTCATACATTAGAGAGCTGTTCAGGCATACCCTAAAATTTACAGAAATAATGACTCTTGTTTTCTGTGGTAACCTGGAATTGAGTTTTGCCTTATATTTTTTTGGTAATTTCACATACAATAGATTTAGCTAGAAAAATTGTCATATCTCCACAGTGAAACATATATATATATATATATATATATATATATATATATATATATATATATGTATATATATATTTTGTAATTTTTCTTTTGAAGCATGTAAGAATTATTGTAAACCTCATGGTAACTTATCTCTGTGTTCTTTAGCTGTGTAATCATTATAAATAAGGCAGTTTTTGCTAACAAGAAATTTTATATTTTATATTAAGTGTTATATCTGTTGTCGATCAGCAGTGAATATTCATCAAAATTAATATTTTTCCAAGTATTCTGATATTTTAATGGTGTTATTTTCATTTTTTCAACGAACTTTCAAAGAATCCAATTTAAGATCATATGTTACAGTTAGTTATCATTACATTTTTCAAAAACATAAATCTGATGATCACACTTGCTTACTTAAAGTGTGGCAGCTCACACCCATCTTTTCCTTGGCACACCCTGAACCCCTCTGGCATGGTTGGCAATATGAGCTTCTTTGTAATTTGGCATGGGCCTTCATTGTGGGTCTCTTCTTGGATCATGAGCCTGTGTGCTGGTTCCTTCATGCTTTGTACATGCAGTGCCTTTTTCATCGTTCCAAGAAGCAGTGTGACCACGCTCAATGTTCTGTTCTCATGACCCTAGCACAGGCATTGCAAGCTATGTGAGGAAGAGCTAGCAGCTCCTACATTTCTCATGTATGTATGTCCTTGTCCTGTTCTACCCATCCAATTGCATTTAGTATATTTTTTCTTTCTTTGGACTTCTGCCATGATGTGTAGAATCTCAATAATTAGTTAACTAAATGAACAGGTGGATGAAAAAAGAAAAAAAAATTGGGCTAAAGCAGTGCTTAGTAAGTACTTGCTATGTGACAAATGTAGATGAACTTCATTAAAACGGGCTTTTCTAAGCTACTATTAATGATGGCATTTGATCCACATTTAGTCTAGCAATTCAACAACTGGTAGCATCACAATGAAGAGATTGGCTAGACTATGTTGATCTATTTATTGAAAGATTTTGATGTTGAGAAAATAGCCCTTTTGGCAACACTTCTGATAAAGGACTTGTCTGAAGGAGTAATTCTTAGGAATAATATAGCAGCAGACACATGGCAACACGTTCTTACCTTTCCAACAAATATGGGGATATTCATTGAGTTGGTTGCGAATCCCATCCCAAAGACCATCACTGCTTCTACATTCATGAACTTTGCCATGAGGTCCTCCAGCTCCTTGTGTATATCCAAGGTACCTGGGCAGAAGTGATGTAAGCAGTGACTCATGCTTTTAAGCAAGCTCAAGTTTAAAAACTCAGATTCCACCACACACACATTAGCACATACCTATAGCCTGCTTCCAATCTAGAAACAAATCAGAGTCCATTGCTATAAAATGGATGTATTAATTTTGGAAACACAGTTGAATGTAGCTTAAGGAGAGACAAAAAATATCGCCCTACTCGGTGGTGTGGACACATTTTGGGAAGGAAGATGGACTCTTGAGTGTAGGTTGTGTTGGGACATATATGTCAGGGCAGTGATTATTTGTTTTAGTTTTCAACATGACAATTGTTCTAGGATTTTCCTACTGCTGTGTATTTGTATGTTGTTGGATACACATGGGTATTTGCTTTTTAAAAATCCATTGAGCTATATACTTAACCTCCGTATGATCTAAAATGCCATAGAACTTATACAACACACCACAAACATTCCTGTATCCCACAAGTAATTGTTACAACCCTCTTTGAGATTTCATTTACCTGAATGCACACAGATACCACAACTAATATATCTACCAAGGGCAATAGTTGAGTTTATAAAATCTTTGGAATGTATTAGATACTCTGACAAATTTGCCATCTAAATGATTTCTTTTAATCTTTGGCCTCCATTAGTTCAGGTAATAATACTTTACAGAGAAGAAAAACCAAAGTTTAAAGATGTTTCCGATATAACCCAACAGAGATAATTTAACCTAACTCTAAATGTTTGTTTTACTTCTTATGTCCTTTCTTCCTCTTCTTCTTCATCTTCCTCATCCTCTTCTTCCTCATTTTCCTACCACCTTTTCCCCCTTTTCTCTTTCTTTTCTTTGACATTGTCTTGTTATGTAGCCCTGGATGCCCTCAAATTAGTGAGCGTCCTCTTTCAACTCCCTGAGTGTGAGGATTACAGGCTCACCTCACCATGCTCAGGCCAGAACCTTTTATATTTTTCTTTGCTTATCTCTTCTTAAATATTGTAATCTTTTTACTTCTTGATGGTAGCAAAGACTAATGCCTTCTAAATTTTGTTTGTAATCATTTCACTTTCTAGATCTACAGTAGCCAGTGTCATAGCTACGAGTTATGTAGTTAGTGAAGTTGAAGAACTGAGTTCCTAATTATACATGAATTTTATTAACTTGCTTTCAATTTTAAAATTAAAGTACTTCAATATATTTCCTGCTCAACACATAGTTAATATTTTAATAGGATTTCATTTGACTGCAGACATGTAAAATGTAGTGTGCACATTGAGATGTAATATGAATATAAAAAACAGCACCAAGAGACTTTGTTTTGGTTCTATGTTTAAACAGTAAATTAAAAGTGACAGATCCTGCTTTATTTTTTACTTGACATTTTCCCTAGAAGATAGATTTGATTAGGTTTGCATGGTAAATGGCTTTATCCACTGAGCCCTCTCCAGTGTGACAACATAGACTTTTAACTACCCTGGCAAGCCTTGAGTGGGAATGATTGCACTGTGTGTTTCTTCTGACGCTCCAGGGATAAAGAAATTCAAGTTTGAGAACAGAAAGACGTGCAAGTGGTGAGCTGTAACTTGCATCTACCGGACGTAGGAGCTGTTGCTGAGACTTGAAGAAGAGCAGTATCGTTGCCATGTGTAGGGCCATATACATACGCTTTTCTAGTGTAACAATTGATATGTATTACTACTCAGCTGAAATATCAAGATTCTATTCTCATTGGTAAATCAGCTTCTTTATTATGCTAAAATGGTTAAAGATAAATTTTTAGAAAGTATTAATTGGTCAGTTCAAAGATTTATTTTTAAAATATTTTTGCATTCAATATTAAGGAGGAGTTTTGAACAGCGACCTTTTCCTTTCTGAGAAATCACAGTATAATACACAAGCTGTTGCTGGCCTTCTCAAACCTGAATTCATTTATGCAAGAGTTGTGGGAAACAATACACAATACAGTCATTCTTACTGAAGTTTCAGTGGCGCGGTTAAAGGTTAAATACACTGAAGACATGGCTTGGATGAAAAGAGAACTTTCATGCAAACATAATTTTCTGAGTTCATATCCCAGAACTCAGTGAAAGGAGAGAACCAACCCCCATGGTTACTCCCTGACTTCTACACACACCTCTTACATTCACACAAAACAATAACAAAATGTAAAAAAGGTTGAAATTTTGACATAAAATTTTGTATCATCAAATGTGTTATACAACAGAAAGTGAATGAATGTTGAAGATGAACATGTGAGCTCATGATTGTTTGCTGGACCGGTTTTTGTTTAGAAGACATTGCCTTCCAAAGGGGATAGTCACAGGAGTAGGCGACTCAAAGGTAGGAGATTGGGTTCTGGCCCCAGACCTGCCATTAGCAGCTGAGCAAGCTCTGGCTACTGTCTCTGAAGGCTGGTAAAGAGACTGGAAAGTTCAGGTAAGCGCTCCTGTCTTTCTTCCTGATAGAACACTCTTCTGTCATAGTGGAAGCTCTCGTTCACTTTCTCATAGCAGACAGGCCCAGGTGATCCCTGACTTTCCAGGTACTTACAACATCAGAATGTTTGTGCGAGTAAAAATTGTGACACTGTAGTAGATGTTTTGTCATGATAAAAACAATGCCTTGCCTAGTGCTGACATTCATTATGTACCTAAAGAATTATATGGAGTCTTTTTGTAGAGAATTAAGACATATATGAACTCAGAGTAGAAAATGAAATTAGGAATATGAAAGATCCAGGCAGAAGGCAGTCCTAATGAGACTTGATAGGCTGGGGTCAGACAGTAGGGGAGGAGGCTCTTTCTTTCTGAGGAAAGGGGAGAGGACTAAGGGAAAGAGGGAGGGAGGATGGGACCAGGAAGAGACTGTAGAGGGGGCTACAATTGCAGTGTAAAGTGAACAAAGTATAAAAAAAATAAAATTTAAATTAAAAAATCCAGACAAAGCCAAAGCAACAAAATAACTTGGTAGCGAAATACCACTATTTGCAGAAAAGGTTTTAAGATAGAAAGTGGCCAAATTAGTTAACTCAGTAACTTTTCTCATAACTCTTTCCTGCCCAGAGAATCAAATGAGTAAATATGTCACAACCAAATCACCCAGATATATGTGAACAGATACTTAAGGTAAACTCCACCTTTATCTTTCTAAACCTCACATTCAACATGTTCAGCCACAACAGCTGAATCACCGAAAGTCCTTGGGATGGCGTGGGATATGCTGTTAGGCAAATAGACAGCCAAGCAGCTAGCAGATGTGCATCTGCCAAAGACTCTCTTGGGAGCTTTTCCGATACAAGAACTTCTTTACAGATTAATAAAAAGATGACTTTTTAATTAATTAAGTGCTGCTTTCTTAGTACACTACATTGCATACTAAGGACAATTCAAGAGAGCAAATAGCCATTAGAAAGTTGATAAGCTTCCTGTCTACAGACATCAGGCTGTGCCTCAATCTAGGAAAGATGTTTAGTTGCAGTTAGTCCAAATATTTGGGTAGCTTTAGAAGTAACATCAATAGCTTATCTTTGGTATAGAAATGATGCCTTTTATAAATCCTAATAAAGCATAACTATAGTCCTAGTTGAAGGAACAGACAAATGTTCAATAGTTTTTATTTGGCTAGTGTCAGTTGCTCTATAAATTGCTATGATATGTATATATTATTTCCTGCTATTTCTTTGAGGTTTTCCTCATCCAGCAGGCTACTAAAATCTGCTAATCTGCTATGTGAATAAAAGAATAAATATGAACTGGATCTCTCCTCTTGCCAGCTCACTAAGTGATACTTTCAGAAGCCAAACACTGAGTTGATTGCCATAAGTCAAGTGAATAAAAAGTAGATTCAGGATAAATTACCAGCTTTCTGGGCATGGACTACATGATTCTGTTAGATTTTTAGTGATACTGACTGGCTTACCCTCAGTCAAAATGTACACATCTCTGGCCTTCATACTGACAACTAACACTGAATGGTAACAAATGAGTCAGTGTGTAAGTGAGAAATCCACTTCACAGTCACCAATTATTTCTCTGTGTCCTATATGAAGCTATTTCCCTAACTGTGAGTAGTCACATTGGCTTATAATAGGCTGCTTGTGTTTCCAGACTTGGCCTTAGCACAGGCTGCCAGTTGACATGAAAATCAGCCAGTCCTCCCCGTCCATCCATTCCAATGGTGCTGAGCTATCCATCCACATCTGTGCCGCTCTGCTTGCATGAGGCTTCCTGCATTCTAGGCAGCATCAGTCCTTGTGCCTAGAGGACCATAGCCTCAGGAACCAGACAGAAGTCTTTGGGTGCCTGATGCTCTTACTTGCAGTTAATGGGATTATATTGCCTCTTGATAGAATTTACTTTTTGTTAAGCATTCAGAAGACATGAAACCAGATGCCTTGTCTGGCTGCTGTGTTCAAAGACCAACAGCAGAATGTGCTTGTGTCTGCCTACCTACTTAGAACTTAATTTTAAGCAAAACACTCACCACCTCTTGCTAAATTAAACATTAGTAGGAAATTAGAATCAGAAGCAAGCCAGGTGTCTAAGGGAGACATGGTTGTGCAGTTGTGATGTATTTTTATGGTAAATGATACTGATGATAAGAACCATTAACTGACAAAATGATTTATTCTTCAATTCATATTCTCATTCTTTTTTGTGTTTATTATTATCATTTATTACAATTTATTCAATTTGTATCCTGGCTGTGGTCCTCTCCTTCATCTCCTCCCAATCTCTCCCTCTATCCCTCCCTCTTCTTCCTCTATGCCCCTCCCCTAGTCCACTGATAGGGAAGGTCCTCCTCCCCTTCTATCTGACCCTAGCCTATAAGGTCTCATCAGGACTGGTTGTATCATCTTCCTCTGTGGCCAGGCAAGGCTGCACTCTCCAGGGGGAAGTAATCAGAGAGCCTGACACTGAGTTCATGCCAGAGACAGCTCCTGCTCCCCTTACTAGGGACCCCAATTGGAGACTGAGTCTATGTGCAACAAGAACATTTGCTCAACCA